ATAAAAGACTAAAACCTCCCTTCACTGGAGCACCAGTACAAGAGGTGCTAAAGCATAAAGATGTGCAAGTTAATACATACTACGACCAAACAAGCGGGTGGCAAAGGCAGTCAAAGCCATTGAAATAACGCTGAAGATACTGATAAAAGATGTCATGAAACACCTAGAAAATACCGCGCTGATCTTTCACAGATCACAGGGCCAATTTTGTACTCATTTATAATTTTAAATTCCTTTTCCTCCACCAAATCCTTCACTTTATTAAAAAAAAATGTTGTGGGCTGGGCACAGTGGCTCATGCCTGTAATCCTAGCACTTTGGGAGGCCAAGGTGGGCAGATCACCGGAGGTCAAGTGTTTGAGACCCGCCTTGCCAAAATGGTGAACCCCCGTCTCTATTAAAAATACAAAAATTAGCTGGGTGTGGTGGCACGTGCCTGTAATCCCAGCTACCCGGGAGGCTGAGGCAGGAGAATTGCTGGAACAGGGGAGACAGAGGCTGCAGTGAGCCAGGACAGCACCACTGCACTCTGGCCTGAGCAACAGAGCGAGACTCCATCTCAAAAACATACATACATACAGACATACACAAATGATTGTGGAAGAAATGCTCAGAAAAGAGGAGGAGGAGGAGGAGAAGGACAAAGGAAAAATCGTAAAATACAGTTGGGACTTTCCTTCTATTTGTGACAAGAGAAAAGGATCCAGGGATCATAGTGAACCACAAACAAAACTCAAGTCAGCATTGCGGTGTACTTAGATAAAAAGGTAAATATATTTGTTGCCATGATAAGGAGCAGAAATAGAGTGTGTTTTAGAAAGAGCTCTGGACTGGGGTTAGAAACTGCTAGAAGTGACTGCCATGCACGCTGTGTTCATGAGGATCCTGCAGCTCTGTCGAGGCTCAGTGGGAAAGAGTGCAGGACTGTTCTCTGCCAGGGGCTCCTGGTGTCTATTACATAAACCTGTAAGTTATCATATTTATGTTGCTATGAAAAAACTGTGGGGCACTAGATATTTTCACCAATTAAGCCTAAGTTTCCCCATCTATAAAACAAGGATGGTAGACAAAAGTGATCCCTAAGGGTTACATTCTCTTCAACTGGCTTGAGGGTGGCTGGAGGAAGGCTGAAAGTATACTGCACTAAGGTGAGATGGTCACTGTGATAGCTGGGTTCCAGGGGTAAGTGAGGTTCCCAGAAGGAGGGGAAAATCAAGCCAATCCACTTGGAGAAGGCCACCATCAGGCACTAGAAAGGCCAATAGGAGCATGCACCTGGAAGACCAAACCTAGGGGCAGGTTTTGAGCCTTAGAGTCAAGAACTCTAACTCAAGGCTAAATTCGGAGGAACGGTCTCGGGAAAAAATGCAAGGCAGAATGTCCAGTAGGGGCAAAATCATGATGGTATCATAGTTTTCTAACCCTCCCTTAAATCCCCTCCTAATATCCCCTCCTAAAATTCCTTAAATCTCCTCCTAAAAATTAATGAGGGCTGGGTATGGTGGCTCATGCCTGTAATCCCAGCACTTTGGGAGGCTGAGGCAGGTGGATCACCTGAGATCAGGAGTTCAAGACCAGCCTGGCCAACATAGTAACCCCCCTGTCTCTACTAAAAATACAAAAAAATTAGCTGGGCATGGTGGCGGGCAGCTGTAATCCCAGCTACTCAGGAGGCTGAGGCATGAAAATCGCTTGAACCTGGGAGGCAGAAGTTACAGTGAGCCGAGATCATAC